GCGGAAAAACAGCCGTGGACCACGTGTCAGGGCTGGAAAAACGGCCGTGGACCACGTGGAACTAGCGGAAAAATGGCCGTGGACCACGTGGAGCGGGCGGAAAAATGGCTGCGGACCACATGGAACGGGCGGAAAATGGCCAATGCTTTTTTGTATGACTGTAAATCAAGTCAGTGGTCAACCAAAGAATGAGAAATGGCCAAGTGAATGAGAAGTTGTAAGCAGAGATATTTATAATTCACTTTTTTTCTGTCCTGGGTTTCACAACAACAATTCCAGAAACTCAGCTAAGCATTAATTCACACATTTCATTTCCACATGGACAGTAAAATAATCAACTCTCTAAAATGTATTAAACATATATGAACAATTTTAGGAATGGATTAATGTTTTACTTTTTGATGTGTTAAAAGTGCTGATGATACTACTGAACCTTCACAGCATCCAATAATGAATATTTCTTATCAGGGAGTCCCCATGTAGAAATAACTAGAATACATTATTTTGGGAATGATTCTCCCCCCTGCTGCTAGCCTGCTCCTGGTATGTTAAACAATTGGTACTCAATGAGTTTTGGCCTACTGAGCATGAAAGAAAAGGCTTATTTCTGAATACAACATCATCAGTAAGATGTAAGGGCCGTTGTCCCAATGGCGTGACTGAATCAGACTTAGCCTGTTACAGCAGATGCTTTCTTTCCTGGCTCCCCAGCCCAGCCAGCTGAAAAGCTAAACTTGCCCATTCTATTACTGGAATGGTTCAACACATATTCAAATCTCCAGCTAGCTGAACTGAGCTACATGAACTCTTCCAAATTCAACAAAGCCTGCTATATCATCCTTGTTAAATCTCAAGCACAGCAGTATAATGTTCTGTTTCAAATTCCTGCAGTGTTATTGAGAAGTAATTACATTTTTCCCCACAGACATCTGATACTGGATTGGCACACAAGATAGGCTACATACTTCACCTGCTGGATAGCTTCTGTACAACTCATAAGGCACCATCTGCAAAGAGGTACAGTGCTAGATGTGAAGTACAAAAAAATATCTTCACAAAAAACATACTCTGATACTTGATACAGCCTTCAAAAAGTGCATTCTGATGGCTCTGTAAATCCAATAAGTAAAACAAGATAATATTAGTTATGTTTCCTATTAGATATTAGTTATTATTTATTATATATAATGGGTAGATGGAACATACCAACATTTTAAAACAGAAGTGGAAAATTGAGACAATTCTGAGGGTTGATATGGCCCATACCATACACCAGTCTTCCCAAAACAACAGCTCTGATCATCCCTGAATAATGTGCTTAATCACAATGGAACAATTGACTGATTAAACATATCCAAATATTCCTTCTCTTTTTTTAAGCAAAACAGCCCATGGTAATAAAAAATATGATGAAAAATCCCCTTAAAACCTGAATGCTAATCTGCAGCACACATACCAGTAATTATTTATTGCATGCTTGAAGAGGACAAGGAATTATTTATTGCATGCTTGAAGACCCACAAGGAAGAACTTGGTCACAACCCAAATTCCACAATTCTCTCACTCAATAAACCAGAGATGTAACTAAAGTATCACTATAGGAAAAATAGTAGTGACCCTCTCTTATGCCACTTTGGACTTGACTTGCGGCACACTTGTCTATACTTGCTACTCTGAAGTCTTACATACTTCCCTTACTGTAATTCTTGGAGTAAGCCCCAGTGAGCATCATGAAACTTACTTTTGACCAAGTACATTTACTTTGGTTGTTACATATGGTGATCTTATTACATTTTTCCCTCTGTGAGACATACTTACTTTATTCACAAAGCACATTAAGATTTCTGTACGTTAAACGAACAAGAATAGATTTTATTCTGCAATTCTTTCTAGATCACAGTCATATTATTGGTCTGCGTTACTTATTGTGAAGTTGATGAGATAATATGCATTCTCTAAGACAGTATGAAAAGTGAGGCACAGAAGCCTTCAACTCAGAAATCCAATGAGAAAAAAAAATCAGGAATGAGGTGGTTGTGAGTTACATTGATGAAAACTCTTCCTTTTCTCCAACAATTCATCAGTGGGGTACATATTTCTATTGAAATGTCATTAAAATCAAGGAAAGAGGATTTTTTGGGTAAAACAATGCCATCTTTGGGAAAGCAAAGAATGAAAAGTTCCCAAAAGTTCCCAATTAAATATTCAAACCTAAATACCTCAAAGGATGTAGAAACTTCACTGGATTCTGAAATGTTCAAGGAGCAAACTAATTTCAGGGGTAGGTTCTTACCTTTTATTTTACTTCCAAAATCCTACCATATTTCTGTTATGGCTTTTCATAGAAAACAGGCCAACCACTGCTTGCCCGTGAAGGCAAATATAACCCATATGTATGCTTTAAAACAACAACTAGCTTTTCATCATTTATACAGCTGGCTCAATAACCACTGAAAGCTATTTATCTTTAATGTTTATGAGAATCTGGAAATTTATTTCAATGTAATACTTCCTTGCATGTGTAATTATAGAATGTATAAGGGGTAATATATGGGAGAGAGAGTTCTGAGGCACAAGGAAACAAAAAGAAAAATATATTGATTCATTTCATCATTTAGCTCATTTCATCATTTAGCTCTATTTTGAAATACTCAATCCAATTTCTGAAATTTAATTTTCAGTACATGGTCCATTTGGCCACTCTCAGCTAGAATTATTTGGGCTTATGAAACAGCCTAGCAAGATAAGCCTGAAATCTTAAATTAGGCTGAACAACCTAGAGTTGTACCTATCAGCCCTTGCCAGCCAAGCTAACAGCCAGGATGATGTGATTTGCGTTCCCATTCATTACCCAACACTGAGTTTAATCTCCTCGTTCTCCAGCCCTATAGCGGCCTTGGAAGAGAGATGTTGGGAGCAGCCTCCAGGAAATCATAACTAAAACTAGCCTATGCATTAAAAGTATTCAAGAAAAAACATCCCAAACTAACAGATATGCAAGGAAAAGAAGAGGTTTTTTCTATTATCTCACTGTAGGATTGTCCCTTCTGAAGATGCCCCTGCTTTCAGAAGACCATCTATAAGGTACACAGCACAGGATCCTCAGGTTTGGAATATTCTTATCTGATTAATATAATTATTTATCATATATTTCAGCAGGCAGATACCAGGAATTCCAGCAGGAAGGAGGGAGGAAGGGAACACAGTGAAAAAAGTTCTTTAGTTTATAAACAGAATCAGACCTCCATGGTTCAAGGAAAATGCAGGGCAAAACTATATATTTTAGAGGAGTAAAGATTGAAAATGAGACTGATTTCTAGAGCGTCTTTTCAATGCACTGACATACGATGGAACTGAAATCCAAGAAATAAATTGCGGATGGATGGATGGATGGATGGATGGATAGGCTCTTACCTGTTACTTTGGAAGTACAGAATGTATATAGTCCTTTTAGTTTAGAGGCTCCTTATTTTATATTATGACATTGTTTGTTATTGTATCAATTGTTGTTTATTTGATGTCTATATCACACTTAGTTATGAGCTATTAGTAAATAAAATTGCCATTGCTACTACGTACTGTGTTACTCCCACACAATAAAATGCACTTCTTTGCAAATCCATTTGGTCTCCACTTTCTCTGGCTTTAGATAATCTGTAAACATCTCTTTTTAGCTAGGTCTTTAAAGGTCAATTATTGTATTATTCATTGTCAATGTATATGTTTTCATTTCTATAAAGTTTTAAACTGCCTTCCATATACATTTCAAACAGAAAAATGACATAGAATTCAAGTAACTAAAGAAAGAAATGTTCAACATTGGAGCAGGCAGAAACAGCATTAGAGAATACTTATGTTCAAATCTATCCATCATTTCTAATGACGTTATTCATTTATATCATCTATCACAAGTTCTCTCACTGGCTTGGTGGCTATGCAAAGCACTGCATCTAGCTCACAGAAAATCATAGTTCTAGGGTACACTAGAACTGCCGTTGGAGAACTGCACTGAAGTAGACTGCTGGGTTCAGTTTAAAATGCACACAGAAAAGCTGCAGTAGATTCAGAGAAGAGCTACCTATATTATAAACCAAGCACTATAATGAAGGGTTAAAGAAGCTGAGTATATGTTTAGCTTTCAAAAGAGATTACTAAGAAAAACAATCTTTTAGATATTTGTGATCTACAACTATCTAAGAGGCGATCACGTACAGGAGAGAACAGGCCTGTTCTCTACTGAAATCAAACGCTTGGACAAGAACCAAGGAGATGCAGGATGAGAGAGAATTCAGGGAATTGCCTAATGGTAAAACATGTTAAACAATGGAAATGTGTTTCTAGAAAAGTAGCAGACTCCCCTTCACTGGAGGTTTTCAAATAGGGATTGAGTGAATACTTATTGGGGGGCTGGTTTAGCGATTAATGGATTCCTGCACTGAACAGAGGGCTGGACCAGATGACTGATAGGATTTCTTCTTATGTTTTATGATTTAATTCTACACCTTAATGCTGCCAGCACTTACTGGTGCTGGCAGTATTCTATGTCTGAAATTTTTAAATAAAATACTGTCTTCAAGGCAAGTCTTTAGCAACAGCTTTTAGCTTAAGTCAAATCATAATATAGTATGCTAGAATTCTGTGGTTTTCCCATAGCTATACAAGTCTATTATGATATACAAGTATGTTCACACACCTCTGTGCAAACAATGTAATCCATACATTATTCAACTACAGAGGGAAAAAACTGTTTCCCACTACTAGTGAATAATTGGGCTTCGGTGTTAGTTTCTAATTTACCAATTAATATAGCAACCTCAGCATTCAGCACGCTATGTTTATTCTCTGTCTCTATGTTGTTAACAGTCACAGTTAGTAACGGGGATCTGCGGGTGTATACGAGCGTGCGCTGCAAGCGAAGGCAGCGTGCTGGGCTGTGAAAGTGATTGCACTGGAAGGCTTTGCTAACAGAGATGTCAATGGAGCAAAAGGAGTTTTCATACCTGAGTTAACTAGCTGCTGCTCCATCACCCCACAACCCAAGACCTCCATCCATTCTCCTTGAAAGTTGATCTCCATCTCAAAGGAAGGGTGAGTAAATGGAAAATAGCAGTCCACCCATCTGATCTTGAGTCCTGGAGTGGTTAAAATCAAAGACATAAGCCAAAAAAAGAAAAGATGGGGTGAAGTGATGTAATGGCTTATGCTTTACAGTATATCTAAGTAAAGTTTATCTTTCATTTAATGGCATCAATTACTGCAACCCATAAAAAATAAATAGCAACATAATTGACAATATTTTGTGTGTGAGGTAATAAATCTTGGATCTTGTGGAAGGGGTGGGGATACGAGTAACAGCCATATCTTTTCTAATGGGAAAAACGCTTTATGCAATTCAAGCACCCTTTAAAAACAAATCAATCACTTGTCAAATTCCAGCAACCACCTGGCATAAGCTAAGACCATGGGCAAAGCAGGGAATTTTGTTGTGGTCAGTAACTGGAAATGACTAACATCTCCCCAGAGATATAGATGATGATGATGATGATGATGATGATGATGATGATGATGATGATGATATTATTGTTGGTTGCAGTCAGCCAGATGTTTAGACTGGATTTGGCATTTTTATCCACCTATCAAGTCCTTCCCAAGGACCTGGAATAGGCAGAGGTTGTTGTTTGATGGTGA